CCACCCGACCGATATGGATTTGACGATTCATATTACTAGACGGGAGATGATGTGAATCCCCCTCGCACATTCAGACACGTCGTCAATGACAAACGCATGCACATACGTACACCACCTATCTCACTTCTATAAGGCTTGACATTCGGTGGACATGGTCGGAAAGTACACCTTAGTTCGGACAGTGGTTCTCTACTTGCGTGCACAACATCGGGTATCCAGTATCCAGCAATTGATTCATTAATTGCTTCCCAGCAGCCTTGTTATCCTCTTCCATTGCGCAGAGGCTGGATCCTGTGAAACAGAGATGAGGCGATTCCAGCACATACATGCTTCGGGTGACCTGTACTGCAGTTGAGTACCCCATTTGTGTCCGGCAGTTTATGGAATATCGCTGTTTTCAGATTGGCAGAATTCCTTTCAACCAAACGGTCAATGAATGGCAATGTCCTATTAGACACTTCCGATTTTGTCGTGCAATTTATAGCCTCATTAGTGGAATACAAATGAGCTAATAACTGGTCTAGTTTATATCTTTTGATGATCACAAAACATGTCGTCCACTAAGGCCACTAAATGTTCGACGCACTATTACAGTTGGTTAACGTAAGTCTTCCAAAATGTTTCATGTATCAATTTGTCAACACGGGGGATATGGACGATCCCATGGCAAGACCTTGTTGCTGAATGTAGGGCCTCGACTGGAACGTAAAACAATGCATCCTAAGATACAGTGACATTCCGTCGATTATTTGAGCAACCATAAACTTCGTCCGCTCTCCAAGGTAATCGTCTTCAGCTAAGCAGCGTCTCATTGTCTCTAACACGTCACCTTCTGGCACGATGGTGAAAAGCAAACTACCAAAGCGAACTACAAGTTGACACCGCAGAACTTCAGACTCCTGTTTTCCTCCCACGTTCGTCCAGTACTGGAATACGGCCTACCTGCAATATACCCACTCACGAAATTGGAATGTGAGTTGGTCGAGAGGGTTCAGAAACGCGGATCCAAGTCTGTATCCATGCTACGTGTTTTACCTTATACCCTTCGTCTCCAGCGTATGAAGTTATTAACTCTGGACTACCGCCGTCGCCGTGGTGATCTGATTTATACTAGACGCATTGTAAAGGACGATCTGGAGAAGGAGATGTAGCAGTTCTTCCAGCTAAACACAGATAGTTCGACACGGGGCCACAGCTTGAAATTTTTTAAACCTCGGGGGAACCATGTCCGGTCCGATGTCGCGATAATTACACGGGTTGTGAATGAGTGGAACTATCTCCCTGATTGCGTGGTAAGTGCGCAGACCGAGACGTTTTAAAAATCGGTCGGACAAATACATGCTGAACATGCCTTGATTCCGCTGTTCCCCTTGAGGAACACAGTTTAGCAACGACACGTGTCATGCAGCCAATGAACGGGAGGTGATGAAACTGACACGGCCTTTCCCTTCTGCTCTCAAGAAGCCTAGAACTATGAAGATCGGAACTGAGTATTATTTCGTTTGCTTCAATAGAACGATTGGCCACCTTTTGTGAGAACGCAAAAGAGTTGTTTACTAAACTAGTCGTTCGTCTAATCAACGGTTGCAATAGGCTAGCCAAATATATAGATAACCCGTGCGTCAGGGAACCTATGTCATCTACAATAGACTGGATGAGTACGTCAACCTTATGTATACTCGGCAAACCATACACTCTCCGTGGAAGCGTTGATTTCGGGTGTATGGTGTATAATTAATCCGACTCTAAATCATCACGTTCCTTAAGTAACTGCCAAGTTCTCTCTCACACTGTCACTGACGTGAAAATTCTATTGTCGGTTACTTTACAACCAGTACCAGATGCTCCTACATTTTTTCCTAGGTGTTTCCAGCTGCAGCTACCGTGTATAATGACGATGATGACCAAACTACAATACCTTAGAGGCGATATATCCAACAGAAAAATAAATCAATAAATCGCCAGCTGTAAGTCGGAACGGCGCTTCGCTGACACGCGACTACCACCAGTCGTGCGTGGGCGAAGACGCCCGTCCCGACGCGGATTCGAACCGGCGACCTTATGATTGCAAGCCAGGCGTGCAAAACACTCGGCCACTGGCCTACACATGCAATAGAAGCAAATAAGTTATTTTCAATCTTCCTGCACATGACATGAATGGCTCATCACCAAGCCAAAAATATACCAGCCTTCATGCTTCAAACCTAATTTTGCAACAATTCTGCCGGCCGGCTTGTCCAGCTGTGGCCTTGCTACCTCCAATCCCAAAAGTTGGACCTCGGGAAGATCCTCGCAATTGCTTGATCGCCGACGGGCGGTGGCTGTTGGCACAGAGTACAACGGACACTGCCGGTCTATTAAGCACAGTTGAAAGCAAGCCTTAGCTCTGATTGTGAAACTTGGTGGTTGAAACAATCTGATAAGATGGAAGCCGCTGCATCAGCTGGCAACTTCCGCCATCTGTTTCGCATCATTAGGGCCACCGGTTGTAATTCCCAAACGAACACCCAGACGATTTGCGAATCAGAGGGCACGAAGATCATCAACCTTCACAGGCGATTGGGTCGCTGGGCAGAGCAGTTCGCCCTTCAAGTCAACCACCTAGCACAGCCCCCTGTGGCACCTCCAGCCCCAACGGATGATGCTTGGCCTGTCTTCTAACTTGATATGAACTTCCTTTAAGCACATCAAGCATATATATATATATATATATATATATATATATATATATATATATATATATATATATATATATATATATATATATATATATATATATACTGAGGCTGATGTTGCATTCATGATGCTCCTTCACTTAAACTAGATCTCTTTGAGCTGTATAAATTTCATTCCACTGTATTTGGTTTGTTCTGGCTAGCTGACTAACCTTCCGTTAACTGCCCACGTTGCTTACGCTAATGGTGGTTATCTTCGTTAATCTTATTGCGTTTGTAGCAGTTTTAAGTAACTTCTGGACATTTTGTAGTTATCGCGGAATCGTTGCTAACCAATTTACTTCACAGATGCAAATCGAGGGAAGAGTTCTGTCTATCTAGCCATATTCTTTAAGATATATATTTTATTTGATGATGTCATTTCAAGTGATTGGCTGTTGTTTGACATCCCAGGTATAGTTGCGCATGATGTGTATGTTGACAAGGTCTATTACCGCATACCACGTCCATACTGGCTCTAGGAGACAGTTGGTCGTTGTTGGACGGGACGGGGTGCACGGTCCTTGTGGTTGTGCTAGAGTGGTACCATGCACTCAGTGTGGAGCGGACTACGGTCCAGCCACCGCCTTGTGTGCGCTTGATTCCTCAAATACAGCGTGCTTGTGTTTGCCTGTGAAGGAGTGTGGGCCGGCTCCGTTGATGAAACGTGGCTCCCATCCACATGCCTCCCGGTATTATTCCTTCGGGTTTGCACTGGATATGGAGTGTGTGGATGGAGCTGTGGGTGGTGCAGCGCAAGCCACCCATGGTCCCTGTAGGCGAAGGCGTCCGGTGGCGGGCCAAAGTGGCATGCAAATCCAAAAGCGGATGTCGCCAACCATATATATATATATATATATATATATATATATATATATATATATATATATATATATATATATATTTGCAACCAAGTTTATCGGTAATTGCGACCAAGAGCATACATGGTTTCATAGTTGAAGCTGCACCTGCGCCTATAGGTTTTTATTCACTTCCCATTCCTGAACTTTATGCTCCGCAATTCACAACCTCATCTAATTCTTTCAACCATCACCCCCAGCTAACACATACCGCTTTGATGGGCGCGTGACCATGCCCATCACATTATGCGGAAGAGACTTAAAACGACGCGAAGCTTGCAATGCTTTGGCGTACGCACATCACAATAAAATGTCACAAGGGACGTTGTTTTTCTTTGCAAGGAAAAAGCCAAAAAGATTGCAAGGATGATTACTCCGTTGTGCATGAATTATGACGTTGGTGATTTGCTGAAGTATAACCTAACTACGCATATTTAATCATACATTTCATTGTGCCATCATAATAAATCAAAGGGGGAGCTATCGTGGGCGAATGATACTGAGACTTTCAAAAGCGCAAGAACAACGAACATTTCAGCGAGATAAGCTGAATCCAGTGTATTTCGCGTATTGTCTTCTGCCGCTTACATATAGCGGGTGAAAATTCAAACGATTGGAAATGACAGATCAATGCCAGAAATGAATGGCTGGTTTTGCCAGCAAAGCTATGGCACCCTGCCAAGGCAAAATAAGATTGGCCGCCGAATGACAGAAGATTCAGCAAAACGCAACAAGTTGGAATGGTTCTGTTTGTTTATGACCGTGGTACTGGGAATGCGCGGTCAATACACGTGTTCAAAAGAGCACTGCAGTTAAACATAGCGCGAATACCCCTTTGAAATTTACCGTGACCTCAACTACGGTGCTTACTTCTTAGGGAAGTGTGTGAATCCAAAACGAGCACTAGTTAGGGAAAGTTAACTTTTCGGGATGCAACATAAGTATAGCACAGGGATTAAGATGTCAGTTCAGCAAAGTACTTTTCAAACCCAATAGTATCCTTTAAAGTAACATAGCCAAAGTACTGATAGACAGGCAGCAGCGCCCACATCGGAATATCGATGCAACCATACTCAGCGATATGTCAAACACACGCAAGAACAAAAGCTGCACTAGAAACAACCAAAGAGGCCAAGACAAACGTCCACTAGAATGATAGGCGAGTGCAGAAAACTAGTGTTGAATGTCGTATGCATGCATACGTAAAAAGAATGCGCGTTCGTCATTTTGTCAACAGGCTGGGTCGATTTGAGGGATGGAAAGAAAATATGGCCACTACGTAAACATGGGGCTGTATCAGAGTGGAATGCTAAAAACTGAGATAAAGTGGAAAGTTCCAAATAAGTGTAATCTGATGGTTAATTCGAATTGAGCTTAAATCGATGGCAAATTTAAGTGATTTTCAGGGGGAAGAAAACTTGCTCACTTGACCGACAGTTGCGTAATACTGCATACCCTCCAGATGGCCTACCAAACTGTTTTTCGTGAGAAGTTGTGCGTCCTTCCAAATAGGTGGATGAGCCAGTGCGTCCAATTTTGCGCGTGCAGCGGTGACTAGAACGTAGCCTCTCAGCTCGTTTGTCTTCAGTAGCATCTGCAAGCATGGAGAACACAAGAGTATGTCCGATGCCATATACTCGTCATAAGTTCGTCGGAATGAGAATACAATGAAAGGTGGTGCCACGAGTAACGAGTGCACTCGGACTTCTGTGTGGTACTGGGCAGTACTGTTAAACATCGTAAAAGCAACTACGCTAGATTTACTCAAGAGTGGGGAATTTTGATTTAATTAATTGTTAGTTGCACCATCTCCCAATTCAGATAGTCCTCCGCATGCCCGAAAAAGCAGTAGACCGCAATTTCACCCTGCAGGGTGCATCCATCGGATCCACCAAGATTCGAACCCTTGGCCACCAGCTGCTTGCACCGTCAGACAGCGGGACAGTTTCGGACCATCATGATTATCAGGCTAAGTCAGGTACAGCGCGTAGTTCGAGAGCACCGTTTCCCGTTTGTGATGATAAAAGAAACGAAAACACGCCGACGTTACACTTTATAATTTACAAAGTTTTTAACGTTTAACACATGTATAGAAACAGCTATGATGACAAATCTACAACTCACTAGTTGCGAAACCAAACTTTAAGCGTTGAAGGCAAACAATAGTCCTTGTTCCTGTGGATCTAAATATGGCTAAACATGAACTCAGCGGCATCAGAAACTGCGATCAAATGGAGAGCTGAACACCAGAGATCGCCTTCGGTACAATCTAGTAACAGCGATTAGGGCGGGGTGCAGTAGATGCTCGGGTGACACACGTAGGAAGTTACCGAGCCACCACACGTGGCGTGCTATGACCAGCATGGTGAAAGGAATGTTGGCGTTCACCGATAAATCGCTGTGTACTCCATTTTGGCACCAGATACGAGCGACTTTCCTCAAACACCCAGTACCGAAAGCCGGTGCATGTTATCTATGCGATTTGGCCAGGAATCGCTTTTATAAAACAACACACGACCACTTATTGTGACAGACTCTTGGACAACATCGCGTATTTCAGTTTAACTGATAACAACAGGGCCTGGACAATGCGAAGAGAGCTTTCCCTCCAATAATGCCAGCATGGGAAAGGCAGCTCAAAGATAGACCAAGTTTGCTCAAACTGTGTACCTACATGAAGGAGCATGAGAACAAATAGACACCAATCAGATAACAGCAATTCACATCTCGAGAGAGGAAGTACATTCGGTACCCAAATGCTACAGTCATCGAACGGCTCAGAATGATAAGTGTATTCTGCAGCACAGCTCAGTAATCCATATCACCAGCATAACCCAAGTTGGCAGTGTGCCTAACAGGAAGAAGCCAAAATATTGGGAAAATCTAAACCAACCAAAAGAGCTTCCTAGACTGCAAAATTGAAGAAGAACATGAACATAAAGCATCCCGATCATGCACCGTTACCAAGAGCGAAGGAGAAAGTTTGCTGTAAACCCTCATCGGTTAGGCGGGATGATGCACGGGTAAGAGCTGTATACGTTATTGGAACCCAGAGCCCAACGAAACTCGCCATATAGTACACCGGTCAATCGAACCTAATGAAGCTCAAGTGTTTAGAAAAAGAACGACGACATGCCTCTGGTAGTGGTGGCGGTCCACTGAGTTGACGGAGCCCGATGATTCGGCGCACACATTCGAACAGACCGGAAATCAGTTTGATGGGCATGGAAATGTGAACAACGAATTACGGAGGGTCTGCAACGTAAAACCCATGCGAATACCTTGCAAGCAATCGATATATCACTGCTTCCACTGTGAGTGATGCATGAAGCGCAAGCAGATTTATCGAAAATAAGAAGTGACTATCATCAACGAGAAGGCCTAGTTGCTTCATATTAGATCATAAGAAAGAGAAGGGAACCAGCTTATGAGCAACATCGCACCGTAAGTCAAAAGCTTCGTACGAGACCCGCAAATGCGCTCGGCTCAATCATCGAGTGGCTCTGCATCTAGGCGATTAGTAACTCATCCTCCGCGCAAATTGACATCAGGCTATGTGAGTGATTTGAAAGAACATAGGTGCAAATGTAAAACGTCTTCGGGGTATCTCGCAGAACTCAGTCCTTCAAAGACAGTCGCTTACGCAGTGAAAACTACAGCCCATTTGGCAAAATAAACTCATCGATATATACTGTCCGTTCACAACCATAACTAACGACCCACATGAGCCGATACTGTTCATCATTAGACGCAGTTAAACAAACGAGGAGGAACCCACACAGACATCGGCCAATCCGTGCACAGCAATCGAATCCCTTATGCCCGTCTCCCATTGGTTGTTTTAGCTCGCTCCTCCGATCCATCACATCCTCCCTATTCTTGTGCCCTCATATTGATAGGCACTTCATACAATTTGTAACTCCGCGTCATCTTCGCTGTATCTTTCGCAGTGGGCACCTTGCCCCACGTCCTAGGACGCTCTGAGCTCAATTCACACCGCTGTTTCCGGTATCGTCTCAACTACACTCGATTTCTTCCGAGCGTCTTCACTTTAAAATTTATTTCGTATGACCTTGCACCGGCCCTTGCAGCCACAACACCTTTCCTCCACCGCTCTTGATCATCGGGCGCAGGTTGAACCCATACTTCCTCCTTCAATGTCAGCTCACCGCTCTCGTAGTCAGTTTCGTTCGCACGTCTCGTCAAACTGTTCTGTAGTCTCACATGCTATTGTAAAACTGGGTGCAAACGTGTGGCAGATGCCGACGCCAGAATTCTAGTCTTTCGGTTGTATAGGCGTCACACTGAACTCAGACAGGTATCCGTTGAAGGTGTTGCGATTCTTCAGTAGCTCTGCCCTTGATAAGCGTCGCCTGGCTTGCTTCACTGCCAACTCCGTTTTTCCATTTGATTGGCTGTGATATGGGCTGCTTTGCTGGTGAACGTATGCCCACTAGGTTGCGAAGAACTGGAACATTGTCGGAGACCAGCCCCGTCGGTATTGCGTGAAGCGCGAATTGAGGCCTGAGTTTGTCGATAACTGCGTCTGTGGTTGTAATAGTGAGGCAATTAGTTTCAAAAAAATTCACTTTAGTGACACCGAGTGAGTATAATCCCTACTACAGTCACAGGATAAGTCCGCCACCACTTTCTGAAACGGTTGATCAGGAATGTCTTGGAGCACCATTGGTTCCCTTATCTGTCGTCTTTCCCGTGACCAGCACGTTTCACAATTTGACGCATGATCCCTGATACTTATGACCAGAAGTTGAATACTCTTGCTCGGTTAATGGTATAATTAGCACGAAGGTGAGCGCGATGAACGTGATTCAGCATTTCTGTCGGAGCGATGTAGGGATCAGAATAGGACTTCGTTTGAAGAACAAACGATCATAGACAGTATGCTCATTTCGAAAACTGAAATAGGATGTTCGTTCCTTTGACAGCTGCTTCTTTGTCTCTAGTCACCCATTTAGTATAACGTTGTGCAGGAATGAGAACATTACATCATCGAACCTGAGGTGCTTCATTTCATTAAGACGCCATAGCCAGATGCTGTAAATGCCTAACTGTTTCGACTGCCGAAGCCGGAGCCGAAGTTATGGGCTGCAACTCATTCGCGTAATGTGCAGACAACGCACACACGTTCGGGTCAACGAGCTGTGATGGGGCGGTTGAGCAGGATTCAAACGATCATTTTCCCCACACACCTTAGCAAACTGTTACCCCGATAATACGAGCATCATTGGTTGCTCCCATTGTCCTTGCACAGTGGTAGCACAAGGGCATCCTTCAATTCAGCCGGCACTTCCTCTTCAATGCGCATGCGTTTAACCAAGTGGTGTAGTCCATTGACCAACGCCGGTCCGCCGTGTTTCAACACTTCTGGCAGTATCCCGTCAGCTCCGGTGCACTCACCGTTCCACAGCTGAACACGTGCACCCTGCGTTTCATCCACTGTCGGGGTGATAGCAAGACATATCTTGATCTCTTGCCCTTGCAGCCCGCGTAACGTATTTCAGGCAATCGCTGAACGGTTGTTCAAGAAACGAAAGAAGTGCGTTCGCCAGATCTGCATTATATCACCAGTTTTTGTGCAGACAGGGCTTGAAGTACCATCGGCTAGCGTCCTCAGTGGCTGCAACTCGGGTCCATTCATAACCTTCAAAGTGTTAAAAATTCCTTATGTTGGCAGCATTGGGCGTTCCATCATTAGGCATTCCATCAGCTCCGCCTTCTCCGTCCACCGTGCATTCTTGATGCGATGGAGCCCTCTAGTCAATCGCCGTCGAATTTGGTGAAAGTGACAAACATTTCCTGCATCTGCAGTGTCACCCACATGCGCAGCGAACACCGCATTATTGTACCATACCAATGCGCCACTGTTGTCATTAAACCAACAGGACGCTTACAGATTGCGAGTCCGATGCTATGCTAAGCAGCAGTCGTCAGCGATGGATTAGACATCGGTAATGCGGATAGTTATTGCATTCACTTGTTCCTTCCTCTTCTCAACAGTATCTAAGGAACGGACAGTAAATATGTACCGCCGATTCACAGCAGGGAAGCAATACATAGATTACCGAAAATACATGTACAATTTGGTCCGCACTAACTTGTGGTCAGAGCCACTTTCGGCTCCACGAAGTAAATGTGCCATGCACACTTCACGCTGCAGTACGATGACATAGTCGAGCAGGTGAGCGTAAGCAATCGGTGGGTACGCTCAAGTAACTATATCACTCGCACACAGTGCAAACTGTGTGCGACCGGCTGTTCCATAATGCGGCTTCTCTGAAGAGGAAGACGTTAGAGCGCACGGTAGTTTTGCAACGCAAATATTTTTATTGTGAAGTCTTTGGTGTGTATGTTGTCGCAACACCAAATTAGGCAGGTAGGAATGCATGTAGAAAGTTGCGAAGGAGCATTAGATATTCCTCCGGACGTCGCAGCCAGAGAGGCTCAATGTGAGGTTGCTTACAAGGTTCACAATAGTTTAAGGTAGATGTACTGCCGAACAAAGTTTGATGAATGGTCTCTTTAAATTCCGCGCAGTTCTGCCCATCTTCCGTAACCAAGGATGGTTATGAAGAGTTCGAGTTTGGCAGTGGCTGCATGGATCTTGTGGCATATGTTAGTCACGATTGCCTGGCTCGGTCTAATTGATATTGGACTTGTGCAGATAAGTTGATTTTGGAAGAATATTGGATTTCTAGATCACGAGTAAACTATCGTACAGACACAACTTCATTGTTAATTTTAACCGACACTTCTGGGATCGAGCAACAAGGTGACATAATGCTTGGTTTGTCAGCCGAAAAATTTTATCAACCAAGTATCGGACCATTTCGCAAGTGTTCAGGATATCATCACATAGGAGTTAGACGATCTTAGTGTCATCAGCAAAGGAAATAGTTGGCCATTTTGACGGACATGCCAATATCATTGACATAAGGGATAAATACCAGATCCAAGTCTAGTTCCTTCGATGACACCGCTGGTGAAAGTTAAGATCAGTAAGTTAAAAGAATCATCGAGTCGGTAAACGTAAAATTTATGGGGTTAAGGAATTGGAACCAGCTGTTTGAACATAAGTTGAAGAAAAAATCGCTCACCTGGCTATCCACTAGCTCAACAAGCCAGTTGCGCGCAGTAACAGTGCTCTTAGAGCAGACAGCGAGGCCATGCAGCTGGTCCACTACATTCGTTCGTTTCGGCGCCTATGGTAAGAAAACAAAAACAGAATGATCAAAACACTACAAAGTTTCGCTTGCAAACGTACGCGTTCAGCACTTAATAATATAAGATTATCAAGCGAAAAATGTAGAAAAAGTTATCAAGTGGACGTCGAGAAGTGAATTGGCTACTGGCCGCGGGCTTTTGGAGGTGACGGACAATGCTTCACTACAGTAAGTGCACACAAATCTCGAAATCAAGGTCACGTCGAGGCAAATTCGATAACATGATAATACCTCTAGCCAAAAGCACCCAATACGAAAAGTGGAACACAGACAAACATTCAAATAACCTGCGGGCAATACCTAATTTCTATTTGAATCAGCTACGGTCCTCGTGATCGAAAGACCAATGGGAACCGCGGCCAAAGGTTGAGACTGCATGCGGCAGTCCATCCACACAAGATGCACTTCAAAATGACCCTCAACATCGTTCAAACACCCTGCTTAAGCCATCTATGCCTGTTTACTAGTAAAAACTGCGCTTGTTGGTATATATTATCGAATATATGGGAAATAAGAAAAAGGACGACGTCGATGATCTCTGTATGTAACTGCCGCAAGAGGGCAATGATAAAAAAATAACAGCAGCTATCCTTTTGGGAGATAACACTGCAATACGACAGTACATACGAGGGACAGGTGGAATTCGATATTGCGTAAAAACATGCATTGGTGGATAACTTGTGGGAATCAACAGTGGAACTGAACATACCCTTAGTTTGCGCACATAATTAAGAAGTGGGAGTTTATTGGCCAGGGTGAAATTGGCTGATAGAGGTGGTAACAAAAAGCCAATTTAGGTTAGGAATCTAACCGTCGCGAGGTAACAAGGGTGGCTAAGGGCCCACCTGCATAGGTGGAGTATGCTTAACAAACAGTAACGGTTTAACCAAAGCATGTAAAAACATTGAAATACGAAAACAGAGAAAGCATTATAAATATTAGGCATTATCAAAATCAAGACTATAACGGTAGTTTAGTGTTACATGCGAATGGTTAAAAATCAACCAATAAGCGAACTAACAGTACGTAAAGGATAGTGAGAAAATGGTAAAATACATACTTTCACGATGAAAACATGGGACGTTATGGGTATGCGCAAGAGCGAGAAATCCTAAGAGCCAACGAGAACGTTAGAAAAAAGTAAGAAGTAGGATGATTGATGCGATGTGTGATTTTTGCGTTCCAATGTAGCTAATGACGCTAGAAATCGTGAGACATCGATGACTGATTTGGTGCAATATTTCCAGCTATAAGAGAATACCAACAGTGTTGGAGCTGCATGCATGACAAGGTCAGAATGGGTGGGTTAAATGAGTGGATCCCTGTGGCAACGTAAAGCTGCGGGATCCTATCAGGGGAACAAAGTAGCACGAAAATGGAAAATTTGACAGCAAAAGCACAAAACCTACGCTATATACTAAGGGTGTAAACCTTCAATGCATGGTGAAATATCAAAACGCAAACAGATGTACGATATACGGATGGTGCTCGCGTTTAATGAGGCAATGGCAACCCCTTTGACAACAGCTGTGAGCGACGTCAAGTAAATCACCTCTTCGCAATAGGCAAAGAAATTCGCAGTATCCACTTCTTTAAGTAGTCGAGCTAACATAGGGATTTCAGTGAAGACCTCTGATGAGGTTCCGTCACTGACTGCGTTCGAGTCAAGATTGGGCGCTTTATGTGTCCCGAAATCAACACGTTTACCGACTCCAACAATGACAGCATCATTTGGTGCGTCGAGACTGTCTTGAAAGGGAGAGCTTGCAGTATAATGCACAGGCGAAGGATCAAGTGTTGAAAGGTCAGGTGAGGACGAAGTATCAACAGTAAGTATTCTACCATTGCGTGATTCCATAGAGCCGAATGAAGGATCAGAACTGGCTGAGGGGCATCCCACGTCTGAAGACTCGAGGAGGCTGACGATAGAAAATGTACGATAGTTTGAGCGACATTTAAACAATCGAAGTAGATTCGTTAAAGACATTCACCATAGCTAGAACATACACATAAGTTGACTGCAGAACCCACCCACGAAAGTAAGCTCAAAATTGAAAGTAATCAGTGAATACTCAAACTGAAATCGGTTGAAACCAGAGATTCGTATAACAGGAAAAAGCGTATTTCGCATATTTAATCAATAATAAAAGTTAGCAGCATGAATGTGAGGCCGCAACAGATGACTGGGACACGCCTTGTAGGTGACGATTTCGGTTAACCTGCCCAGAAAGCAACGGTTGTTTAGAAGCAAAGAAAGGAGTGGGCCAAAGACTTGAGTGCTATGAGTAGATGTTCACAAACAATGGAACAATTTATGTCCTTCAAAATTAAAAAGCAATTGAATTGAAATGAAACTGACAAAAACGTCTCTCGGATACTGCTGCTATACATCATTCGTCACCGCTGGTTGGGACAGTTACCTCTCTCCATGCCTACTCGATAATAGAGGCAACACTTCATACAAATCTTCAAGTATCACATGCACGAGTTATGACTAACCCTGCCAACCAGGCATGGAGATGGAACCTTAGACTTAAACAGGTGTTGTCCCATCAACACCCGGGACGCAGTAGTAGTTCCGAAACAGCGGGTAATACGAAATAAATCAGTCACGCGATGGGACTTGTGTATCCTATAGCAGAACCTTTCAGGCTAACATTATGATTTTCCAAAGGAAGCGCCTTTTCCAATAATTCAAAAATGCTCAGCCTCTTCATGTTTACTGACTGGAACCACATATACGTTATTAGTACCTGCACACAAAACATGGTTTAAATACCCGAGGCTACTGAAACAAAGGTCGAGATGGAAGAAAGATAGGCGTAACATTGGTACTCTGGACTAAAGCTGCACGAAAGTTTGACTGATTTTACCCCTTGAAATACATTAAAACAGCCCCGTATTTGTTACGGGTAAGTTCATATTGCACGCGCTTCTACATAGTTTTCTGTGTTACTGCGTTCTATCCTTAGTGCGCTCAAGTTATTAGTTCATATCGGGAATAACCTATGTTTATTCCTATTACCACGCGAAACCTATCTTCTCTTACTTTTTCAAACATCAGTTGACAACTCATTTCTGTTTCATGGTTCAGAGCTAAAGCACGGAATGAAATGATTGTTTTTGGCACATGTCTACTGAGTTATCAAACAAAGTCAATATGTTGAGTACTCAAATCAAGAGTGTACAGAAAATTATGGTGCTAATAACTCGAATTGTACTTGGTCTATGCACTTGGAGCGCATACTGAAATAAATGTTAGTAATACTAAAACACCAAACGCCTTGGAAAAGATAATGAAATAAGAAACAGTGCCAGTCTGTCGCCACAAAAATGGTAGTGTCATGACTAAAACGACGAAAGACTGACACTGTTTGCCCTGATAAAAGCAGTCTTTTCCTACCTAAGATGCAAAACAGCAACATTGCTATTAAGGAAGTTAGCTCAATAAGATGTAAATACGCTGTTTGCAGGGTCTACCAAAAAATAAAACCCATTATTTCCGCACTTCATCATGTCGCAATCTAGATGCACCATAAATTCCTAACGGGCGTGGCAACGAAAATGATTAAACATGAATAACTCGTATTTTTACAGATCTATGTAAGGGTGGATTTGAGCAACCCGTTTACGGTTGGATTAATACAATCTTTGGCTTCACCATAACCTATGCCAAAGCAAACACAAGTCCATGGTACGATATGTGATTCCAGTGACCGCCACAGGGTTCAGGTTCGGTTTTCGGCCCCAATATCACAATGTAACAAAGCAGGAAAATAACGAAATGAGCCACCACTAAAACCCAACCGCTAGATGCCTTAAAATGAGCACGACTCACAATTACAGATCAAATACGTCGAGCAGTGTGAGCGGAATAAAAATGGAAATTTTCCGATGTGCAAAGTTACGGCTGATTATAAGCGCTGAATTGTATAGCAAAGAGGCTCAAGTAACGCACTGAATAGGAAATCCGTACTTTATTGGCGTAGGCAATTGGCACACAAGCACTTAATGATTAACTGGTTGGTCACTTTAGTAACATGGAAATGTCGGTGCGCAGTGAAACACGTTGATGTGCATACAGGAAAATAATAAGAGGAACGAAGGATGGTATTCAAATCTCGGGATGACCACCACCAATATCTGTCAGCTTGCTAATCAGTCGTAACAAATAAACGTGCTTGATTGCTGACAAAGTTACACGATTCATGAGTTTATGGGCCAACAAGGATAAGCGTCATGCTACAGTATCCAGTAATCCTGAGTTTACGGCATTTTTATAGCACCAACCAGGGCAAAGGATAGTAGTACATAAGTACAAAATGCTAATCGAGTTCGCGAGATTTTGTTTTCAGAACTTGGAAGAGAAAGCACGATGGTGCACACTAAAAACACTGAGCGTACATGTCAGTTTAGTAGTCTATGAAATTTCCTGAGTAAAGACAGCTAGACCAAGATTCGTAAGAACAGCCTTAAAACTAATCAAGGAAAGAACCAGCTGGCTGCGTATTCCGACCTTACAGGTTAGTATAGGAGTGATATAAAATGTATTGAAAGATTGTAGATCTATGCTAGAGGCATTAGTTGCGTGAGACTGCAGTAAGGCAAGAAGAGTCGCGACCGTCAAGTGAGTGGAACAAGACACCTGATATTTAGCGCAGACAGCAACTAACAGAAATTCCTTCATAGTATAGACTAGAAAGTACGCGACCGGGCAATGCTTTCAACCATCAACTCTACCAAAGCATATAAATGTTAGGCTCACCTATGCTTTACCGATTCACAACACCAGGAGCCGTTTTTCCTCAAATCGGCAGGATCAGTCAACAGAAATGGCTGCGTTACGCGCGCCGATAAGTTCTTTTTGAGCAATTTCGCATGCCGGTAGGTGCTGATGAGAGTATAGATCAAGTCCCGAGTGTCCTCCGTCCAACGCAACATCAACCCATTAACCAGAAGGCGGTGCGTAGGAGTTAGCTTTCATAATCCCGAGAAAAACGAAATAATTAGTATACCAAGACAAAAGAGGAACCAAAAACTGACTAAATAAAAAAACGCAAAGAACGACAAGTGCATGTGCCATGTGCAAGGAACTATACAGCCCAAGGTAAAGAAAAAATAAAAAGAACAGTATTGTAAGTAGAGAAATGCATGACTGGAAAAAGAGACAATACTAAGGACTGGGAGATAGCGATGCCAACGGTGGTCACCATAAAAAGGCAATCAAACCAAACACCGTATATAATAATCAGAACTATATATATATATATATATCCAATGTAAACCCGAAGGAATAATACCGGGAGACATATGGATGGGAGCCAGGTTTCAGCAACGGAGCCGGCCCACACTCCTTCACAGGCAAACACAAGCACGCTGTATTTGGGAATCAAGCGCACACAAGGCGGTGGCTGGACCAGTCAATTACTCTTCCCCGACCGATCTAACGATGGCCGAAAGTTTCGTTCAGGTACTCACGTACCGTTTGTGCAGAACGTGCAGGCGCAACATTCCGCGGCTATCAAAAGGTACTCAAAACTATTCGGCTTGTAGCTGTGGAATGACGCAGGTCTGCAACGTATATTTGTAGGAAAATACGAAGAAATGTAAAGCATTAGTTCTGTTAAAAAAATCTAGTTACACGTCAAAAATATCAACGAAGTAGATGTTCGAAATGACCACCGTCATTTTTTGCAGAGCAGCCTTCGTCGGATGCTATTGTCTAGCAATTTCTGCAGTGTCCGCCGAGATCGCTCGACATTAGTTGACGATGCTGCCACCAAAGGGTACACAATAACCCTTCGGCCTGCAGCTGTGGAATGATGAAAGTCTGCAAAATTTATTTGTAGGAAGAGGCTAACAAATGTGAAGCAGTAGATCCGTTTAAAACCAAGTTAGCCGTCACATTCTTAGATAACAATAACGGTCCGATAATTTTTCGGCCTGCCAACCCAGCCCATGCAATTAGGTGTGCACTATGTTGCACACGGGAAGTGATGCGCTGTCGTGGGTCGTGGTAGCCCAAACATGCCGCTTATCTGCGCCTTGCAGACGAAAACGTGCCTCATCCTTAAACATGATTTAATGCACGTTCATGATATCCAGATACCATCGGGAAAGCTCCCCACGCTTCTCCGAATCGCATTGCTTCGAAACTTGTACCTACAGTACACGATACCTTCGGAATTTTCATTCCTTCAATATACGATGCACAGAAGATGGTGTGGTGGCACAATGTTGGGCGATTCTCCGGATAGGTAGATCACTATTTCGGGCTACCCCATTCACTACAGCGAAAACTGACACCTCATCTATGGCGGTACGAGGCCTCCCGGTTCGTTTGACGTTGCACACGCTCCTCGTTTTGTCAAATTTCTCCACCAGTCGACGCACGTGCCGCGCGTTAACGGGCCCCATTGTGTAGTTGGTAGCGTTGCAGCGGCGAGCCGTTTCGCCGGCATTTGTTTTGCATTCACCAAAGAGTTGCAGAAGGACCACGCGCTGGTTCACAGGCACGTTACGAGATTGTAGTTGGAGAAGGTGCTCGTTCTCCACTGCTAACACAGCGAGAAAACAGGGTTCACCGTATCTAGCTTAGTAACCGGCCTGATAGCGGGTATACATCGATTGTGCCAAGCCCAATCAGTGCGGCGAATGCGTTTATCACGGACTTTTTGTAGGTTGTTCTGTCTACCCATCCATCGTTTTTACGATGGACGATACTGGCATGCTCGCCTGGCGTTCCAATATTGGTGTGTCTACTCATGTCGGTGTTGGTCCTTTTGTCCATCCAACGTCAGTACGCAAGTACCGAGGATGCTGGCCTAGCATGCCGCCATCAATGCAGTCGTTCACACTCCTGTGGCTGAGTGAGGGAAATTTAAAGAGACCAACAACCATATATTGGACAGTTGGCAGTTTAGTGTGCTCTCTTGTCACCCTAAGGTATGCAACCGTTCACCGAGCAACGGATTAAAAACGGACGTGATTTCTGAAACCAATGGTAGGCATCGAGCCCATTAAAACCCATGGTAAACATGAGTAAAAACACACAGATGTCGAAAAAAACTGCAAATGGAAGAAGTGCTTTTCACACGACGCTGTTCATCTTTGTGATTTTTGATTGATACAGCTCCAAGGAAATCGTTTAAAACATTTAGGGATAAAGTTCTTCCACTGATTCCGGTTGCGCACCTTACCAGCATGTCGAGCCATTGGCAATCCACACCCTTAGGCCCCACAGCAGGGAGACTAACAGGGCCGAGGATGGCGAAACAGGTCAGCAATGTCATGCTTTACCGCCAATTGGTTGGCTGAACTCCACGCGTTCAAATCTAATTCAATCCCATGCGAGCAAATAAGGCGCGGCGTAGTAGGCGCTCGCATGAAAGGTGTAGGCATTGCCAAGCCACCTCAATTGACGTATTGCAACAATGAGATTAAATGGATGCCCATGTCTCCAAAGACGGGACGCCGTAATTCATCGTTGCGAACTCGGTGCTGGCACCACACAAGGGCTATGCTCCGCAAATATGGGTTGTCGAAGACCAAAAATCGATACATGTCGTCCACACGAACCGGTCAGAACTCATTTCGTTTTAGACCCTCCCCTTATAAGGAGAGGGATATATACCGATGACACAAATGACTTAGATTGGTAAAAGCCGAACGAACTATAGCACGGCCGAGTTCCCCTGGCATTTTCACTTTAAGCCTCTTAGGAGACTAAACGGTCAAAGCCGTTGTCTATGCTGATGTCGGGATTGCGTGGATCACACGTGCTGAGACCGCGATACTAGACTGGATCCCGGCCAACAGTCGACTCTGCGCGATTCGACCTGAAACTTCAGTACGACTGTCCAGGTGCGAAGCCAGCAGACGCTGCTTGTTCATTGTCGCACCGTAGGCTCCCACAGACTGCAGCAAGGTCAGTTAAGGACGAGTTCAATGGTCAACTGATCGACCTTCTCCGTAAAAAGCACAGCACTTACATAGTGGTGTCCGTAGGATGCTCGAATTCGCAAGTCAGAAGATTAGAAGTTGGCGAATGTGAAGTCGGTAGTCAACACGGCCATGACACTCGTATAACAGGCAATGGTGATCGCCTACTTCAGCTCTGCGCCGATCACGGCCTCTTTCAGTCGAGCGCTAGCTTTCGGGGATCCTGACGCCAACGCGCCACCTGGAGATCCCCCTCACCTGGTCAGTCGTAGACACAAATTAATCACAACGCCATTAGCCATTGCTGGCGGGGCTGCATACTGGATTGCAAGTCACTATGGAGTACCTATCTCAATGCGGATCACGCGCTGGTGGGTGCCAAAATCGAATACGTTTTGGTGGCTCCAAGTAGTGCCGCCAGAGACGGCTTGACGTAGCTAAGCTTTCTGTACCGAAACGTTCTCCGAGCATTTCAGGATGCTTTGGCCTCAAGGCTGAAAAATGCCTCATGCACAGACATTGAAACACTCGGGGTAGACATCCGCGGTGCCATGTACGACTCTGCAACCCTGGTCTGTGGCTTCCCCAGTAGTCCTGTCAACTACTGGATCTCTGCGTGACCTCTCTCAGTTCTCGAAGCCTGACGAGCAATTCCTGCTAGCGTTAAGTACCATTCACTACGCAAGACTAATAACGCTGAGCTCAAACAGCCTCTCCGGGAAGATCTCAAGGTCTGGTGGACGCAGCGGGTCATTCAGATGAAGCAAGCGGCCATCTCAGGAGATTTCCGTAAGCTTTTTCTTCTGATCCGATCTACTGACGGCAAAAGGCCGACTGAAGGGAAGTTTCATGAGAAAGCAAAGGCAAGTCAATATACGAGCAACAACGCCGGCTCAAGAGTTTAACTGAGAATTTTGAGCAGCAGTCTATATGGCCAGTAGCACCGATGTGTTTCCATTCTGGAATCAAGAGTGCTCCTGGTGTGCAGATGCTTCACCACCATCTGAGACTGAGGTTGCCCATGACCCTCGACTCTTAAAGCGCCACAAAGCCCTTTGTCTAGAGAAACTAACTCCGGCTCTTTTCAAAGATAGAGACACATTACTTATGCAGGAGTTGACTTCTCTACTGAAAGAGATCTGGGTCACTGAAGGTATCTCATCTAATTGAAGCCTAGCGGATATCGTGCCCGTCTTTAAAATAGGTACCCGAATTGAGTAGCACCAAGGTGGTCGTCCCTCTGCTTTTAACGAGGCTCAGTCGGGTACGCGAACAGAGCATACGTAAAGAGGAAGTTGGGATCCGATCAGATCGGAGTTACATCGATCATATCTTTACACTCCGCCAAACACTCGAGCATCGTTAAAGATTAAGCCGGTCACGATCGTTGCCATTTCAGACATCCGAGCCGCATTTGACTCAGCTAGCAGAGCAGCTCTCTGGAATCGCCTAGAAAGAAGGAGAGCGCCCGAGAAATGTGTCACCTTAGTTAAAGCCATCTACCCACAAACCTCCGGCTGAGTGCAAGTGTACGGCGAACTTACAACCCCTTAAGATCACCAGAAACTTGAGACAGCGTTACCCAGCAGCAACGTTTCTTGGTCCATTTCGTTATGCACGAAATCCTGGAGATTTCTCTGGAGACCTGTGAACCCAGCGGCGTTGAGCTGCTTCCGTGGGACCGACTTCGGGATTTGGAGCATGCAGACGACATTGACGTGATCCGCGATTCTTCACAAGCTGTCCAAATTGTTCTGTGTAGGTTGGAGGTGTCTATTTCCCAGTCTGGAGCGACCTTCGCACAATCGAAATGCAAGGTCTTCCTGAAGGAGTGGCAAGGCGCTGCTCGTATCCTTACCCTTTCAGGTCATTCAATGGAAGTGGTAGACAAGTTCGTTTACCTCAGAAGCTGCCTCAGCACCAATGGTTTAACGGATGAGGCCTCTGTGCATGGCTCCAAGGCTAGAATTGCTTCTGCTAATCTCCGCCATCTCTGGTCTCGAAGTGATCTGAGTCTAGTCCTGAAAGGCCGAGTT